ATATCGTATATATATATATATATATATATATATATATATATATATATATATATATATATTAACTTTTGAACCATACGTATTTTCTGAATTAATTTGACGAGCTGAATCAAGAATAGCAAAATTTTTATAAAATTCCGCTATAAAAACAATTGCAATAGTTAGATTCTGTGAAATCTACTAAAAAAAAAAAATATTTTACTTGTAAAACTATCGTTAGACCTCTTTTATAGTGCCTTTTTAGTGTTATTTCTAAAGACTTTATTATTTGGCTCTATGCTTGCTGAGTTTATTGTAAAAAAAAAAAAAAAATCTCAGAATTTTCATAACACTCAACTATTTAACCGATGTTGAACTTTTAATTTTATTTTAAAGTCACTCGAGTATTATCCTATGAATATATGAACATACTGTGTATGATGTAATGTAAAATGCATAGAACATGGATCATGATCTAAAATAAGTCTGTATTTTATTATTTTCTTTTTTATAGTTTCTCGCGTTAAAAATGAATCACATTTTTATCTATTTATATAGCTTGACTCAAAGCAAGTTTTATCATTTAATTTTGTTCAACTAGGAAATATCCTCCACCTGGACTTGCTCTATAAAAATGTCGGCCTACGTCTTACAGGCAAAATTAACATTTACAGCTGTATTTATATTTAAACGTATAGACATAGTCTCATTTAAACACAAATGCCAGTTAATACTGCAGTTATTAAAAGATGAAAAATATTTTCATTTCTTGTATGAGCAATTCCTATTCAAAATTAACTATGAATTCATCTTAAACTTTAAATTTTTAAAAAGATAGGTTTGATCTTTGGCCTTTGCAAATGTCTGATCAGTCAGCTGTGAAATGTAATTGAGATTGAAAGAAAGGTGTGTTTGATAGCGGAAATATTGGTAATTTAAGTAGAGACAGATAGAAATTTTTATAAACATTAATTGATCTTACTTTTAATTACATTATACACAATATGCTACAATATTACAATTCAACATTGATAAATCCTTTTGCTAAGGAATAATTAAAATAGTAAAAATTATTATTTAAAAGAATAAAATAATACCTTTTAATATTCAATTAAACTAAAAAGTAAAAAATCATTTTTATCTATTGAGATTTTGTTCTACAGCAATAGAAAGTTCGCTGGTTCAATACTATTAAAATTAGTTCTAATGTTTCAATAGAGAATAAAATAATTTAAAAAATCATCTTATTGTAAAATAAGCTTAGGATGTTTCACATCAATTGTTATAAAAATTTAATTGGTAACTATTTGTAGAAGTAGTTACTGTCCACTGAGAAAAAAAAAATACTTGTAAGAATTTATGTTTTTGACTCAAGAATTTATATGTTTTTAAAAACTTCCAACAATGTACTTTTTTAGCAGGAGAATTGATTATAATAAATTTTATTCAATTTAAGTGGAGTCATTCGTTTGTTCGCTTATAATAATGAACATCTGTTAACAGATATTGATATTCTTTTGTCAAAAAATTAATATATTAAATTGTTCATTTTGACAAATTCTTGAGTCAAGAAATCTTTGTCTAAAAATATTTAAGATAATGTACCAACAATCAAGTCGGTAAAAATGACGCTAAAAAATTCCGTAAAAAAATATATACATACAGGTCGAGCTAATGAAAGCGTGGTAATTGAAAATGGTAATTATCCCTTATATGGTTCAGCAGTGTTGTAGATTTGAGGTAGGTGACTACTTTGGAAGGCTAAAAAATGAAACATATGCAATAATTTTTTTTTCAGGCCCTGTGTAAAATATTACAATAATTTTTTTAAAACTATTATTTTAAGCTTATAAATACAAAAAAAAAATATTGTTTTAATTTCATTCTTTAAATATACAGGAGGCGCTAAAGTTGAGGCCTCAAAAAAATGCTGCCCTATGGCGGACAGTTAATCTTAGGATTGATGAAAATGAAAAATGAAAAAAAAAACACAGCATGTTCAAAAGAAAGGTCTCTTACGAGACAATCTATCACAATTTGCAAAAAAAAATGGCGGAGAGTTGAAAAAAATATTGAAAAAATACTTTTGTTTTTTTTTTTTTTTTTTTTTACAAACAAATGTTATAATTAACTGACCCGGTAGCTTAACTGGTAAAGCATTCCGACATGTTATCGAGAAGATCCAGGTTCGAGTCCTGGCTTGGTTAATTTTTCACGAATTTTTTCAAAGTTGCTTTCGCTCTCAGATGATTTTCCTTTATTAACATCTTTATACCTTAAACAGATACTAACAACTTCCAGCTTACTAGTATTCTTGTTTGATGGAGTCCATCGACCTAACAACAAGAGACAATCCCGTCTCGATTTTTAGCGAAGATGGAATGCTCCATCTCGACTTTAATTACTTTAAAAACTAGTCGAAAAATATTGATCGCATTGGTGATAAAACATACTCATTTAGTTATAATTAACTTTCTTTGGCAACACATAGTAAATCGGCTTACAAAACATCTCAACAACAAACCAAGACCAAAAACATAAAAATTGGTATAGTAGTTTCGGAGATTAACTGTACACCATTAGAAAAAGGTAGTTTCGAGAAAAACTATGTCACGAATTTTACTATGTTAGAATTCGAATTTTTTGAAAAATATTTTTGGGGTGATTTTTAAAAGTATAAGGATTGAGAACATGCAAAAAAATCAATTTTGTAAAGTTGGTCACCTTACCTCCAATACAGTTAACTTTTGAACTTCGCTATCTATAATTAGTGATTAGTAAAACAGGCTAAAGAAATTAGAAAAACGGTAGACCCTGAAGACCATCCCTGCAACTTCCCGCTAATTCTATACTTAGGTGCTTTAAATTGCACTGATGATGTTTTTGAGCACTCCGAGCTTAAAGAGATAGCTTTTCTATGCTTTTGAACTCTCCGAGCTCAAAAGTCTGATAGAAGTTTCATAGAACAATATTTTTTGAATTTTCAAACTGCAATCACTTTTGACAGAATCAACCGATTTTCACGCAGTTGGCGGCATTCGACGCAGTTTTTTCAGCTTCATATGAAGAATCTTCACGTTTGAATTGATAAAACTAGAAAATTTGGAGTAATTCCGAAAAAAACACTTTTTTCGATTTTCTTTCGTTCACGATATCTCTCGAACGAATCAACCGATTTTGACCGGCTTAGTGGCGATCGACGTGGGTTTTCAAGGTTAAGGGCGGATTAGTTTTTAAAGTTGACCGATAAAGCCGTTTAAAAGTTATTCCAAAAAAAACCGCTTTCAAAAAAAATTTTTTTCTTAGTTTTTTTGAGATTTTTCAAAATTTTTCAAAATCTATCGGTCCGAATCGGTTCAAATTCTCAGGAAATCTAAGTTTGAGAGAACTCTTTAGAACGCCGTTTGGTAGGTTCCGATCGGTTCAGTTGTTCAAAAGTTATAAGCGATTCACACACACACACACACACACACACACACACACACACACACACACACACACACACACACACACACACACACACACACACACACG